GAGACTCCTCAACCGAGGAGTCAGTTTGAATTAAACTCTCCTCTTCAATTAGTGATGACCTTAAGCAGGTACTCCACTTTACACTAAACTTCAATTTTCTTGTCTGTAAAATGGGGATACTAACACTCTCTTTACAAAGTTATTGTAAGGAGTCTGTCTCTGAGATGGCGTAAGTACAACTAGAACACTCAGTAAGTGTTAGCTGTTCCTGTTACGATAGTCTCTCCCTGCTTTTTCTTATTGAATCCTGTCTTCTGGAAGTAATTTGGTGGAGAGATAGAAATAACTGATGATAGCCTTAGTTAAAAGGCCCAGACAGCCCAAGGGGGAGGAGCTAATGAAGGAGGAGGAGCCTTCCAGGCATTTTGCCACCTGGGCACTAGGTGTAAGCCCAACTCATGTTGTGTGTGGATGAGGTTCACTTGTGTCTCAGGGACTGGGGCCCGCAGAGAGCCAGAACTAAAGGACTTCACAGCTCTGTGTAAGCTTGATAGGGAAGCTGGAGGCCCAGAGGGCAGGTAGGAGAAACGGGGAAGGTGGCGAAAGCTGGAGGCTGCCTGTTGTCTGTTTTTCTCATTGGTTTTGAAAGTTTATATGAAGGTGATGTGTTAAAAAGATGGCCTCGTGGTTATTGAAACCCAAAGCAAAGAGGGCCCAGCCTGGTGTGGGCTTGAGATAAAATAATAGTGACCCATACAAAGAACCCTCAGTTTCCTCAAGAGCAAAAATAACTAACTGAAAGATTGACTGTAAGTCCTATTGGCCTGATGGATCTTTCGTTAAGATGCTCTGAATAATCCTTGTTTAGAGGTCAGCTCTGTTTGAACTCAGCCAAGTGTCCTAGCTGACACCCAGTGAGTGGCATGTCACACGGCCCAGGATTAGGGAGCTCTCGACTCTGGCAATCTGCACTGATTTTCCCAGAAGGGCTGGCTGTAGAAAGGTGTGGAGTTCCAAAGATTTGTCTGGACCAGGACCCCAGATCAGCAGCCAGCAATGTAAGTAGGAGGTGCCTAGCAGGCCATCTTATCTTTCAATTAGCGGGGTTTTTACTTCTTCAGTCAGACTACACATATAGTAGAGCATTTATTTTCATTCTTTGAAGGAAGCACTCGATTGATTTAGGATTAATTGAGGAATTTTTATCTAACTTGTGACATTAATTAGAACATGTGTTTGATAAATGAAATACATTTATTTCAGTTAAATAAATGTGGCATTTGTTAAAAGAAAGTTAACTTTGCCTTATTGATTCTTTCAAAAAGAGTGTGTGTTTCACTTTCTAAGAGTGTAGAGAGAAAGCAGCTGCGTTTCCTGCATTGTTAGTTGGTAATTCTTATTTCTTAACTTCAGGTACATGTGTTTCAGGCTACCTTCTAGGTAGACTCAGAGACTTAGATTTATGCTCCTTAGTTATTTTGTTGACAGATTTTTAAAAAAATTTCTTTGCTGTTGACTCCAGGGTCAAGTTTGGTCTTTTTTTTTTTTTTTTTTGCTTTTTTTTTTTCTCTTTCATTCTGGTTCAGATTATGTGGCTTGCTTCCTTCAACTGTCTGGTTTTTTGATTGTTTCTCCAGTCTTGGCTTAGGTCAATGTTCCCACATTCCAAAGTGGGATCTAAATTATGATTTTGCATTATTGTTCTGGTTTCTTTCTGGTCTTTGACTTTGTATCATGCCCTACCTTCTCTACTGATAGTGTTAGATTGTGGCTCTGGTTTTTCTGACCTGAAAGTTAGGATGACGTTATATTGTTAGAATGAGTGTGTTACTGAGATTTTCAAGTGTTTTGAAACTTGGAACATTTCCTCTAACATGTTATTTTATGTTTGTGAAATTTTTGTTTATGGTTGAAATTTGACTGCAAAGGCCGGGACATTCTGCTTGATGATGATTATTAATGAAGTTGATCGAATTAGTTCAGAGGACTTTGTGTTTATTACTACAGAATCCAGAAATAAGCTATGGGGAACTGCTGAAATAAAATAGAACTTGCCTTCTTGGCTGAATGAGGGAAGTATTTGCATAAACTTTTCCTCTTTCAAGAGGAGAACCATGGGGTACTAGGCTGGAAGGGAATTAGGAGATTGAAGGGCCTCAGATTGTGTGGCTTGAAATCAGAAACTTAGCCAGGCTTCCTTTTAGGTCATTATTTTTTAACTCCATGGAGTTAAGGTTCTGTGTCAGGGGAATTGCCTGGTGGTCCAGTGATTAAGACTCTGCACTTCCACTGTTCAGTCCTTGATCGGGGAACTAAGATCCCACAAGTCATGTGGCCAAAAAAACCCAAAACAAGATGTTGTGTCGGGACCGTAGAAAAGTGGTTTTCCTAAAAGTCAAGTGAGGAGATTTGCTGTCATATAGAAAGGCAGAATATGAGGACCGTCTATTCATCATAAAATATCTTCTTCCCAACCAGAGAGTACCATTCTACTTGGTGATTTCCCCCACTCCTCAATCATTAAGAAACAAAAAACAAACAGAAAACTCAAACAAAACCAAATTGAGTGATTTTTAAAATTTAAAGCTTATTAAAGAAAATGTGAGAAAAGCACATGCAAAGAAGAGGGAAAAAGTAAATTATAGCTATATCAAAACATTGCTACTATTTTAGGTGTCAATACCATGAAAAAATGGTTTCCCTATTGTGGAAAATATGGAAAATATCTGGATTTTTTTCATTCAAGATTTTCATGTTAGCACTGTTTATTGTTGATAGACATAGTAGATATAGTGGTTTAAAGCAAACACCCTGGCACTTAAATGTCCAGGTTCAAATCATAATCCACATGTGAGCTCTGCCTCAATTTTATCATCTGTAAAATGGTGATGATGATAGTCAGCTCACAGGTAAAATGTTTGTGTAAAGGACTTAGAACATGTTTGTTATTGTCATCAAAATAGTTTATTATTCTAATATTAATGTATGCATATAGTAGAGATTTTATAAGATGCAGAAAAGCAGAAGAAATAAAAATCACCCATTATTCTAAAACCCAGAGAAAACTGCCCATGTTAAAATCTTATTTTTTTAAAATGCATTTTTCAAAAAAAAAAAAATAAAATGCATTTTTCTCTTACATAGTTGAACTTGTATTTCCAATTTATATTCTGATCACAACATAAGCATTTTATATGCTCTTTGTAAACATAATTTGAAAAGACTACATAGGTCATCTTGTGTAACAATATTTTATGTAACCTTTCCTCAGAGTTTGACATGTGGATGGTTATCTCTGTTCCCCCTACCCATTTTAAATAGAAGCAATCATAAGTTAGCCTTGGTTAGAACAGTCTGGAACCTGAGCCTTCCCTGGCCAGTCTAGAGCCTGCAGTTGTTTTTTCTGTAACCAGGATGAAATCAGATCCAATCCATAAGCCAGTTAACTCAGATTTGACTGTATTATGAATGAATATGTGAGATATACCTTTGTAGAATCTTGTCTTCTTAAGTAGTAGAGGTTATTTCCTTAGACCTGAGTCCCAGAAATGGGAGAGCAGAGTCAAAGGATGAGAAGTGTTTTTGATAAGAGTCATACTGACTTAAACTTGCGGCAACCATGAATGAGCCTGCCTCAGTTTCTTTTCTTTTTTTTTTTTTTGGCCTTTTTTTTTTTTTGCCTCAGTTTCTATAACCCCATGTACCCTTCCCCAGATCCGGGTTGCCTGTCAGATCTGAAATACTGAGGAAGTTGTCACGGGTGCCAAAATACTGGAACAGAGTTAATCCTAATTAAAATCATCACTCTGGCTCCTCCTCCTCACTCCTCCAGGGCCCGCCCTTCTTCCTTTCATAGCCTTTCCCCATCCCAACTTTCTCTAATTACCTTGTGTAGCCTTCCTCTTCTCCACCGTTGGGAAGTCATATAATTATATTATTCCCATTTAGAAGTTAGTGATCTTAGAAGCTAGAAATGTTATCCCCCAGCTGGGTACTTGCTGGGTACTCTCAGCTGGGTACTTTTTATAAAGGGTTCCTGGAGCATAGGAACGCACAGGATGGTGCTAGATGATGAAATTTGGGGCTCTGTAATACACAAGGAGGGAGATATTTTGGTCTGGGCCCCTCAACTTACATGATAGATCACATCCAAGATATAAAGCCCGTTCTGAGGATGGGATGAAGTCAAGGCCAGTTTCTGAGTAGCCTTCATTTCCTCACTGTCAAAGCACCAACTGCTAGAGCAGAAACAGCTTTTCTTAAAGGTGAAGTACATCTCTTGGAAAACCTATCAAGGGGAGATTATTTACTGAATTGGATATAATAAAAGACTTGTCAGCAGGATATGCAGATTCTTTACATAAAATATAGCTTTGTGATGCTAGGGAAGGGCTCCTTTTATGGCTTTTTAATCATCTGGTTGAAATTGCCAAAGGTGTGGAGGGCCTTTGCTCATGTGTCTGTAGCCAGTGATCTGATTAAATTGCATGCCCCTGGGACAGCAGATCCAGGTACTTCTGAGTGGGACCAAGGCTCTGATTTCTGAGACCTGAACCCTGAGCTGTAGAAGGTGGGTTTCTTGCTGAACTCTCTGTTTTAAGCAAGGTCTCAGGTGGCAAGGAATTGTAGACTCATACATCTCTGATGGACCGAAAAGCCAAAGAAAGAGTTGAAAAATGTGCCCGAGAGAAGAGGGTGACAGTGGTTATGCTAGATGATGCCCTCACTTTAGGGATGGGCAAGGATGGGCACAGGCACGTTATGAGAGAGAGCTTAAAAGGCGAGGTTTACCTGGTTCACACAAAGCCTGCGATGTTCTAAAGGAAGGAGGAGAGGGAGAAATGGAAAGCTTAGCCAGTTGTTAGCCATCAGTGGAGCATTCCCAAGAAGCTCTTGATCATGGCCATGTGGGAAGGTGGTCTTGAAATAGTGGGAACCAGCTGGAGCCAGCCAGATGCCAGTCTTCCCTTCCTCCCTAAAAGAAAATGCTTTGGTCCCATAGTGGCTCTTTCCTTATTTGGAGTCTTATCTGTTCCTTTGTAGCCTGATCCGGCCTGAAGATGACCTTGCTGGCCTCTGTGGTGTCTAGCTCCCGTGCCCGGCTCTTCGCCTGCTTCCTCAGGCTGGGCTCTCAGCAGGCCAGCCCCCTGCAGCTGCACACAGGGGCCAGCCTCGCAGCCAAGAGCCACTATGAGGTGCTGGTGCTGGGTGGGGGCAGTGGTGGGATCAGCATGGCCGCCCGCATGAAGAGGAAAGTGGGCGCAGAGAACGTGGCCATCGTTGAGCCCAGCGAGGTAAGTCTTCCCCTTATGAGTGTGTGTTGTGTGTGTTGTGCACGTGCACGTGTGGATTAGGGGCTGAGGTGGGGATGACTGTCATGCCCTGGGCCTCCATGTCCCCAGGTTCATGCTTCTTTCTGGGCATTAAAAGCTGGTCATCCAAAAGGATTGGGAGGAGGTGGGGGGAGGGAGAGAGCAAGGACAAATCTCTTGGCTTCTTATGATCTCCTCTGTGTTAGTTTCTTAGAAGTACCATAACAAATGACCATAAACAGCATGGCTTAAAACAGATAATTTATCCTCTCACAGTTCTGGAGGCTGGAAGTGCAAAACCAAGGTGTTAGCAGGGCCATGGTTCCTCTAAATGCTGTTCAGGGCAAGGGGAGGCTGTCCCATGCCTCTCTCCTAGCTTCTGCGGTTGTGGACAGTCCTTGGTGTTCCTTGGCTGGTCATGCATCACTCCAATCCCTGCCTCTGTCTTCACATGGCCTTCTCTGTGTGTGCCACTAGTGTTGGCACAAGACCTTTCTACAAGGACACCAGTCATTGGATTAGATTTTAGAGACAATCCAATGGATAAACATTAGACAGTTGAGGACACTCTAATCCAGTATGCCTGTGTGCTAAGTCGTTTCAGTCGTGTCTGACTCTTTGTGACCCTAGGGACTGTAGCCTACCAGGCTCCCCTGTCCATGGGTCTTGCCAGGTAAGAATACTGGAGTGGGTTGCTGTGCTCTCCTCCAGGGGATCTTCTGGATCCAGGGATTGAACGTGTGTCTCTTACATCTCCTGGCAGGCAGGTTCTTTACCACTAGGGTCACCTGGTCATGCCCGAATCCAGTATGACCTCATCTTAAATTGATTACGTCTGTAAAGACCCTATTTCCAAATAAGGTCACGATCACAGGTCCCAGGGTTTGGACATCAGCATATATTTTGAAGAGAGACAGTTCAACTCACATCACCCTCCACCTTCAATCTCGTGTCCAGAGGAAAATCAGTGGTCATTGCACTTTCCTTTCCCTATTTCAGTCTGGAGAAAAGATGATGAGTTGATGGGTGGGGAGGCTTCTGAAAAGGTGTCAGTAAGTTTGAGAAATTTAAATGCAAGGGATTATAAACAGATTATGAAACAGAAAAAGATAGCAGACTCCAAAAGGGAAGTTGGGAAGTGTTTATAAGGCACTATTTCATGAAAAACATTTTAAGGTTGTCCAGAGCTTCAGAAGAATAGTCAAGATTTTTGACAGTTTGCCTAATATTTCCTAAGGAACCAGACATGCACCAGTGGGGAGTTGTATCTTTGGGAGGAAAAATCAAAATGGGCCTGATGCCTGTTTAGTGGAGAGGGTAGGGTAAGAAAGGCACACTTCTTTTCAACAAGTCTTCCCTGTACTAAATGAGGCTGCCCAGGGCTTTGCTATATTCTGATTGGTATGCTGTGATCTGCGGGGAGATGGAAGGGCGCTCCCTGTCAATTTCCCCCTTTTTTAAATAGAAGAGCTGAGTTTAAGTTTCAGCTCGCCCCACCTTTTAAAAAAACTATTTTTAAAATTTTATTTATTTGTTTTTGGCTGTGCTGGGTCTTTGTTGCTGCACACTGCCTTTTTCTAGTTGCGGTGAGTGGGGCTACTCTCTAGTTGCAGTGCCAGGGCTTCTCATTGCCGTGACTTCTCTTATTGCAGAGCACAGGCTCTAGGGTGCTCAGGCCTCAGTAGTTGTGGCACGTGGACTCAATAGTTATGGCTCATAGGCTTAGTTGCTCCGAGGCATGTGGGATCTTCCTGGATCAGGGATCCAACCTGTGTATCCTTTATTGGCAGATTCTTTACCACTGAGCCACCAGGGAAGCCCCAATCTCCTTTTTAAAGTGACTTTAAAAGAGACACAGATGTACAGAACAGACTTTTGGACTCTGTGGGAGAAGGCGAGGGTGGGATGTTTTGAGAGAACAGCATCGAAACATGTATATTATCTAGGGTGAAACAGATCACCAGCCCAGGTTGGATGCATGAGACAAGTGCTCTGGCCTGGTGCACTGGGAAGACCCAGAGGAATCGGGTAGAGAGGGAGGTGGGAGGGGGGATCGGGATGGGGAATACATGTAATTCCATGGCTGATTCATGTCAATGTATGACAAAAACCACTACAATATTGTAAAGTAATTAGCCTCCAACTAATAAAAATAAATGAAAAAAAAATAAAGTGACTTTAATTCAGGGACAACATTTTAAATGACAGTGGTCTGAGAGCTGTATTAGGTGGCCTCTGGTGGATTGTAGTTATCCCATAGAGGGTTTCCCGTGGGTCTACTCTTTGTAATGCAACAGGCTCCTCTGAGGCACTGGACACAATTCAAGAGGTTGGGATGGAGTCTGCCCTGCTCCGTGAGGATGTGCATGACAGGGCTTCTCAGAGGAGCTGCCAGTGGCTCAGGTGTTTGCTACTTTCCTTCTTGTGTCTGTTTGGGGATTGCTGGAGTGCATGCTTGTTGGCATTCTAAAAAAATGATCCGAGCTTGTATTTTCATTCCCTTTTCTGTTCAAGATGGACTTGACATCATTGAGCTCTCATAGCTGGTGACTTCTGCCCCTGTTTGATCCCATGCATTATGGCTGTAGGGAGACTGCAAAGTTGTTCCTATGTCCTCTTCACTCTCTGGGGCTGTTGGCAATTCTGTCTGGCCAGTTTGAGGCATTTTGATAATGTTGAGATCTCTTGGTCCTTTAGTCTACTCCATGGATACATGGGAATTCTCTGCCCTAAACCAATCTGCCCTTTGACCCTGAGTGTAGGACTTTCACAACTAACTGAGATCAAGAGTGGACCATCTAAAGCAAGAGAACTCCAGAAAATACTGAAAGTTTGGGTATCAGGGCATAGGATCTGATGCTTCCTGGCTTTGGGTGTAAAAACCTCTGAGAAAGAAGAGGGCCTCTGAGGGCTGACTGGGGATATCTGCTGTCCTCTCCATGGGCTTGGGAAACACAGGGGGATGTTAATGAAGTTCTGAGCATCCCCAAAGTGGCAGAAAACTTTTTAGACTCACCTCACAAACTTCTGAGTAACCATATTTAGCCTTCTGGATTTAATTTTTCTTTATATCTGTATACATGAAATGGACTGATAATATGTGTGTGTATGTGCTATGTGCTAAGTCACTTCAGTTGAGTCTGATTCTGTGTGACCCCATGGACTGAAGCCGGCCATGATTCTCTGTCCATGGGATTCTCCAGGCAAGAATACTGGAGTGGGTTGCCATGCCCTCCTCCAGGCGATCGTCCCAACCCAGGGATCGAACCCACATCTCTTATGTCTCCTGCACTGGCAGGCAGGTGCTTTACCACTAGTGCCGCCTGGGATGCCTGTGTATGTATGTATGCTTGTTTATATAGCATGTGGGCTTTCCAGGTGACTCAGCGGTAAAGAATACACCTGCCAATGCAGAAGACGCAGGTTTGATCACTGGGTTGGGAAGATCCAGTGAAGAAGGAAATGGCAACCCATTCCAGTATTCTTGCCTGAAGAATTCCATGGACAGAGGAGCCTGGCGGGCTACAGTCCATGGGGTTGCAAAAGATTTGGATGTGACTTAGTGACTAACACAACAACAAGTATAGCATGTACATGTTAAACACCAGATCTACTTTGTGATAGACGTTCAGTCGTGTCCGACTCTTTGTGACACCATGGTCTGTCCATGGAATTCTCTAGGTAAGAATACTGGAGTAGGTTGCCTTTCCCTTCTTCAGGGGATCTTCCTGACCCAGGGATCTAATCAAGGTCTCCTGCATTGCAGACAGATTCTTTACCATCTGAGCTACCTTACCTACAAAAGAATTCAGCCAAGATCAGCAAAGAAAGTCATAAACTATCTTTAGTGACCACTGTGTTATCTATTGCTTAAAGTGGATTTAAGGTAACTGCCCTTCAGAATTTAACATAGTAGGAAATACCAGTGGAGTTGGTGGGGGAAGACTAACCTTTTGGAGACTTCTCTGTGATGCTTCAAGGGTCAGGAGGGAGGAACTGGGAGAGTCTAGCTCATGTATCTATAGCTATGACTCTTTTGATTAGCCTCACATTGTAATGAATCTCCAAATACTTTGTTTTTTAGACACATTTCTACCAGCCCATCTGGACCCTGGTGGGTGCTGGTGCCAAACCATTATCCTCATCTGGTCGTCCCACAGCAAATGTGATTCCATCTGGTGTGGAGTGGATCAAAGCTAGGGTGGTTGATCTGAATCCAGACAAGAACTGCATCCACACAGATGATGACAAGAAGGTAACCACTGGGGTCCTTTGGCTTTTGTTAACCTGAGGGTTTATACTGAATGCACATTGTATCAAAATGGACAGCTTCGTGGTGAGAGGGTGGGGTATCTGTGTGTGTGTGTGCATGTGTGTGTGCTGAATACTGTGTGAGATGGGACAGGTGTGGGAAAAGGAGGACGGGATAGATGGAAGGACTGAGTGATGCTGAATTAATAAATGAACAATGAAGACAAGCATTTGTTGGAAACCACTGTTTGCCCTGTTGCTTACTACAGTATCATGTACCTGAATTCTTATTGAACAGACACTACTGCTCTGTGTTAAAATACCAGGTACCTCCTTTTTCCTTTGAAGCAGTGGGCCTCTCCACTTGACAGATGGCCCTGCAGAGGAAGGGGATGTTGGAAAGTATCCATCTCAGTCACCCTAGTGGGTGCTCTGCCGTGTGACTCTGGTTGGTGTTAGGGCTAAGAATGGCTGCTGCTGCAGCTTGAAGGTCACAATTGCTCAGCACCATAGACGTCTCCTCCCATCCCCGCCACACTTGGATCCCAACTTTTCAGCAGCTACAGCCCCTGGGTTTGACTGAGGGGATGAGGGCAGGATGGTGAGAAGACAGGCTCAGAAGCCATCCTGTCCCCTCATCTGCTGCTGAGCCCGGGACAGCCGCCATGCTGTCCCCGGCCTGTCCCAGGGTCTGGTGGCTCTTGGGCTCTAAGGGTGTTACTGGCCTTAATCCCCTGACCCATATCCCTCCAAACTGGGCACGCCAGCATTTTCACAGAACTGTAGAATCAGAGTTGGTGGAAATCTTTCAGCTCTAACCTCTTGCTCTAAGCAGGGACCATTGGCTGCAGGCATTCTCAACCTTTCCTTAGGTCATGGATCTTTCCAAGCAGGACCTTAGCCTGCTTTACAGAATGCATATATGTGCCTAATTTTGCATTTAATTTCAAGGAGTACAGAGATTTTTTGTATCCTTTCCCTGAACCCTGATCAAGATTACCTGCCTAGTTTCTGCTCTTCCTTCGTTCCTCCCTCAGTATTTATAGTAAGCATTATTATAACCTGTGTATACAGTTTTAAGGATATACGAGTGAACCAAAAAGGACAAATCTTTATTGTTCAGGATTTTATATTCTAGTGGAGGAGGACATACAATAAACAATAAACATAATAAGTAAGTTATATAGTGTGTTAGAAGGTGATGTCAGTTCAGTCAGTTCAGTCACTCAGTCGTGTCCAACTCTTTGTGACCCCATGAACCGCAGCACGCCAGGCCTCCCTGTCCATCACCAACTCCTGGGCCTACTCAAACTCATGCCCATCAAGTCAGTGATGCCATCCAGCCATCTCATCGTCTGTCGTCCTCTTCTCCTCCTGCCCCCAGTCCCTCCCAGCATCAGGGTCTTTTCCAATGAGTCAACTCTTTGCATGAGGTGGCCAAAGTATTGGAGTTTCAGCTTCAGCATCAGTCCTTCCAATGAACACCCAGGACTTGTCTCCTTTAGGATGGACTGGTTGGATCTCCTTGCAGTCCAAGGGACTCTCAAGAGTCTTCTCCAACACCACATTCAAAAGCATCAATTTTTTGGCACTCAGCTTTCTTCACAGTCCAAGTCTCACATTCATACATGACCACTGGAAAAACCATAGCCTTGACTAGATGGACCTTTGTTGGCAAAGTAATGTTTCTGCTTTTTAATACGCTATCTAGGTTGGTCTTAACTTTCCTTCCAAGGAGTAAGCGTCTTTTAATTTCATGGCTGCAGTCACCATCTGCAGTGATTTTGGAGCCCCCAAAAATAAAGTCTGACACTGTTTCCACTGTCTCCCCATCTATTTCCCATGAGGTAATGGGACCAGATGCCATGATCTTAGTTTTCTGAATGTTAAGCTTTAAGCCAACTTTTTCACTCTCCTCTTTCACTTTCATCAAGAGGCTTTTTAGTTCCTCTTCACTTTCTGCCATAAGGGTGGTGTCATCTGCATATCTGAGGTTATTGATATTTCTCCCGGCAATCTTGATTCCAGCTTGTGCTTCTTCCAGACCAGCGTTTCTTTTGATGTACTCTGCATAAAAGTTAAATAAGCAGGGTGACAATATACAGCCTTGATGTACTCCTTTTCCTATTTGGAACCAGTCTGTTGTTCCATGTCCAGTTCTAACTATTGCTTCCTGACCTGCATACAGGTTTCTCAAGAGGCAGGTCAGGTGGTCTGGTATTCCCATCTCTTTCAGAATTTTCCACAGTTTATTGTGATCCACACAGTTGAAGGCTTTGGCGTAGTCAACAAAGCAGAAATAGATGTTTTTCTGAAACTCTCTTGCTTTTTCGGTGATCCAGCGGATGTTGGCAATTTGATCTCTGGTTCTTCTGCCTTTTCTAGAACCAGTTTTAACATCTGGAAATTCGTGGTTCACATATTGCTGAAGCCTGGCTTGGAGAATTTTGATGAATGTTAATTAAAAAATAGAGCCGAGTTACTTGAACTTGGGCACAGGGGTTAGGGGCTTGAATTTAAAGTGGGTTAGTATTTACATGTTCCACTTCTCTGAAAGTTAGTGCTCTTCATTTTTTTTAGGCAAACAGGTAATATGAAAGTTCTTCCTTTAATGAGTCAGAACCCACCTTCCTGTAATCTCTTTTCTGTTTTGTCTTTGGCCTCTAAGGTGTTAGTGGCCATAATACTTTTCTTGTTCCTTATTCTTCCTATAGTGTGGGAAAGAAGGTCTTCTCTCTTTTCAGTGGAGAAACCCTCCAGCTATTTGAAAGTGACTCTTAGAGTCCGTGTCTGTCGTCTTCTCCTCCTGTCCCCACTTTCCTCAGATCTCATGGGCTCCAATCCCCTCCGTACCCTCTTTAGCCTGCATTGGACATCATCTGGCTTGTTAGTACCCCGTGATCCATGGCTCCAGTAGGTGTCTGGGAGAGTAACCAATGCTACAGAACAGCCCAGAATTGTGTGGGACCATTCTCTCCCACAACTGGCTAGAGCCCAAGCTAGCATTTGCCAATGACAGTTCTCACAGTGCTGATTCATGCTGGACTAGATATCCGTTCAAACCATGGGTCTTTTTTTCACATGATCTACTGTTGAGTCAGGCATCCCCCATCCTAAAATATATACATATTTATATATATGTGTGTACACAAATAAATATACATTTATTTACATTAAATTTAAAAATTTATATCTTCTTTATATATTGTTTTTCCCATGTTGATAAGCTTCATTATTTTCCCCAATATCTCCAGGAGAACAGACTGAATTAAACACAAGACTGTTCTCAGTTCACAGGATTCAGCTTTGGGGCTTCTTTTTCTCACCAGTCTGCTTCCAGTTCAAGGGACCTGCAGACCTGTATCTTTGAAGACACGTCACCCCTTCGGTACAGCAGTGCCTGCCTCCTCGTCAGACCGTCTGCACTGCAGGAGTAGCTCAGTACCTTTCTGATTGGCTTTGTGTGTATCTTAAGGAACATGAACTTGTCTCAACTCTTGAGAATGAGAGGTACTGGGAGGCACCCTCATTTCTGAAACCTGCTTAGACTCTAAGGTCTAGACCCGTGGGAGAGTTGTAGTGCCTTGTTAGGGCTAAGGAATAAGGTGGTATAATAAACTGGTGAGACTTTTGTCCAGGATTTTTTAAGCAAAAGTATTCCATAGCCAGGGCTTCCCTTGTGGCTCAGCTGGTAAAGAATCTGCCTGCAATGCGGGAGATCTGGGTTCAGTCCCTGGGTCGGGAAAAATCCCCTGGAGAAGGGAAAGACTACCCACTCCAGTATTCTGGCCTAGAGAATTTCATGGACTGTATAGTCCATGGGGTTGCAGAGAGTCAGACATGACTGAGTGGCTTTCACTTTTCACTTTCTATTCCATAGCCAAGTATCAGAAATCTGCATATCATGTCTCATCTTCTTGCTTTTGGTTCATCTTCCCGGCTTGCCTGGATCTTTTACATTTGTGATTCTGTCGTCCAGTTAGCAGTTTTTCCTTGCCTTTATCCATGATGGGTTCATTTAAGTTCAAGGTTTTAATTCTTTAACCTGTCCCTAGAGAACTTTTTTCCTAGCATACATGTATCAATCAGCATTCTTTTGAAAATATTAAACAGTTTACATAATCGTTTCCGTCCTGTCCGCAATGTGAGGGCACTGCTGAAGTCCAGACTCACTGTGTCTCTGACTCTTCCCTGACCCAGGGATCTGTCTGTCTGGAGTGTGTTCCATAGGCCCAGTGTGTAGACGGATCCTTGCTCCTCCTCCAGACTTAACCTGGTTCTGTTCCTTGTTCCTGCTCCAGCATGCTGGCCTCTCCTCTCCTCAGACACCTCAGCCGCCTCTTCCCTGGTACCTGTGCACGGGCTGCTTCCACCTCTTCCCCTCGCTAACTCCTAGCTTATCTTTATCTGAGACGTGGCCTCCCTGACCTACCGGAGTAGTCAGGTTTCCCCTAGACTTGCCATCCGAGCACGCTGTGGTTTAGTAATTGTCTGTGTGGCTCTCTGTTCACGTCTGTCTTGCCCACTAGACTGAACTCCTGGAGGGGTAGGAACTGGGTCTTTCTTGTTTGGTGTTGTATCTCCAGGACTTAGCAAAGTATCTGTCACATAGAAGGTTTTCAGTCAGTCTTTGTGATCAAGTTGTGCCTCAATTTCTTCATCTGTAAAATGGTACTAATACTGACTTCACTGGGTTGTTGTGAGGATTAAATGAATTAAAACATGTAAAATATTCAGGACAGTGCCTTGAACAAAGTGAATGCTTAAGAAATGTTGCTGTTATTACTTTTTAAAGAATGCATGAGGGACTTCCCTGATGGTCCAGTGGTTAAGACTCTATGCATCCACTGTAGGGGGTGTGGGTTTGATCTTTAATTAGGAAACTGAGATCTCACATGCTGTGTGGTGCAACCAAAACGTTAAAAAAAAAAAAATTTAAATGACAAAAAAAAAAAAAAGAAAAAGGAAGGGAAAAAGAGTATATGGGGAAAAAAAGGAAAAGGAAATATTTATTGAGTAGCCACTCTGCTTAGAGTTCTTGACTGCCGACTGATGGGAAGCAGGTTTGCAGTCTGCAAACACTTGCTGATGCCCTTCTTTTTCTAAATTATTATGAGACATCTTTTTATTAGATGAGCCTGGAATTTTGAAATGGATAAACATCTTGTTTACTAAATTGTTAGTCATAATTTACCTCTCCCACCCCCCCCCCAATATAAAATTACAAAATACTTGTCCATATTTAGCCTTTTGGCAAGGTCTGCACTGTTCTCTGAAATGTTCAGAAGTTTTGTCTACAAGTTTTTGTAATTCCTTAGAGTTTAGATCATCTGCCCTGGAAGCTTGAACTCATTCAAAAGACATGAAGTGTACTTGTGTTCTTTGCTACTTTAGGATTTATTCTCCCTTATTTTCTTCATAGTCTTAAGCTTGTATATTATTAGTCCATAAAAACAATCAATATTATGCTCTAATAGAACCATCAAGGCATGCACAAACCAAAGGCTTTTCTTTACAGTGCTCATATGTCTTACATGTGGGTCAGGGCCCCCAGATCCTATGCCATCTTTGATCTTACATCCTGAAGAGTCACTCAACCATTTAATGATCCTGGTACACTTTCCTACAGAATAAGGAATTTAAGGGCACTCAGTCTCTGTGGGTAGGCAAATCATACAGTTGAAGGTGTATCTATCTGTCTACTTTGATAGTTGTATTTTTCACAAGCAGCCAAAATCAACCATCTACCTATCCATTCATCCAACAAATGTTACAGACTTCCTCAATTTAGTGTCTTGTGTTAGATTCTAGGACTATAAGGAATAAGACATAACCTTTATCCTCTAGGAGTGTTCAGTGTAGTGAGGAGGACATTGCTGCTGAATAACACAAATGCTAAAAAGCATTAAGTCCACTGTGCTGAGAGAGCTGCTGGGAGGGGCCAGCAGGGAGGGGACTGAGTCATAGGCAGGTCTCACAGTGGAGGTGACCTTGGAGCCGAGTCTCCTAGGTCAGGACCTCTTCAGCGACTTGCTCCCCTTGGCTCCTCAGCCCAAGTCAAGCTCTTTCAGGTCTCGGAGGCCCCTCTCTTCCAGTGTGATCTGCCCAGCTGGCTGCTCTGCTTCTCTATTTGTGTTTTTCACAAGCAACTGAAACCAACCATCCACCTCTCCACCTATCCAGCCTTCTCTCCAAGGCTGTGGCAGTCACCACCTGTGGCTCCGGGCTGGGCTCCCACATTCACTGCTGTCATTCTCCAGTTTTGTAGGCAAGTTTCTTTACTTTATATCCTTTTTGCTTACACTGTTGTACTTCAGCTTGTCTTCCTCCTGATCCTGAACCCACATTTCCATCATGATAAGTATGGATACTTTTGCCCTCAGCATGGATGAGCACAATGCCCATATTTAAAGAGAGGAGTTTTAAATTCTGAACAGCTTATTCAGTAGGATCAGGTAGGTTTTATCACATCTTTTTCAGTGTCCCTCAAAAGAGCAGTTTCTCAGTTACGCTGTTGATCCAGTCTCTACGACAGGACAGATTAGTCTGAGATTCACACATTACCCCGTAGGTGGGATTTACAAGTTAACTTTTAAAGAAAGTTGATTGCTTTAAGATTAGAAAGTCATCCTCTCAGCCTTCAACATGAAACAGTCAGTTCAGTCGCTCAGTCATGTCCGACTCTTTGCGACCCTATGGACTGCAGCACGCCAGGCTTCCCTGTCCATCACCAACTCCCAGAGCTTGGTCACACTCATGTCCATCGAGTCAGTGATGGCATGAAGCAGTGTTAACACAGATAACTGTGGTCCCTCTTCTGTTGTGCTCCACTGTGTAAAAGTGCAGGCATCTCAAGCTCCCAGAAGCCAGGCCTGTTATATATTTGTGAAGCACTGACATGTGAGGCAGCAGAGAGGTGGGCATGATGGCACCCTGGAGTGCTCATCCCTGCCTGCTGGCCTGCCCACTAGCTGCCCACTAGCCCTACATCATCATGTTACAAGATGGGGACGAGGTGGGGCTACTCATGTCTGGGGTCTGAGTTAGTTCTGGGGCTGCCACTTTTTGGGTCTTGGTCTAAAATGTCATTTTTTTGTGTTTCAGATCTCCTACAAGTATCTTATCATTGCTCTTGGAATCCAGCTGGACTATGAGAAGGTACTTAAAAGAATCTTTTTTTATTTTTATTTTTTTCCATTTATTTTTATTAGTTGGAGGCTAATTACTTTACAACATTGCAGTGGTTTTTGTCATACATTGAAATGAATTAGCCATGGATTTACATGTATTCCCCATCCCGGTCCCCCAAGAATCTTTTTTTTAATTTATTTTTGGCTCTCCTGGGTTTTTGTTGCTTTTGCACAGGCTTTCTCTAATTGTGGTGAGTGGAGGCTACTCTCTAGTTGCAGTGCATGGGCTTCTCATTGCAGTGCCTTCTCTTATTGCGGAGCATGGGTTCTAGGGTGCATAGGTTTCAGTAGTTGTAGATCACGGACTCTAGAGCACAGGCTGAATAGTTGTGGTGCATGGGCATAGTTGCTCCGTGGCATGTGGAATCTTCCCGACCAGGGATCGAACCCATGTCTCCTGCGTTGGCAGGTGGGTTCCCTTCTACTGTGCCACCAGGGAATTCTGAGAAGGTGCTGTTTTAAGCTACTTCTTTTACTGTGTCATGGGCTTCCCAGGTGGCTCAGTGGTAAAGAATCCACTGCCAGTGCAGAAGATGCATGAGAGATGGGTTTGATTCCTGGTTTGGGAAGATCCCCTGGAGTAGGAAATGGCAAGCAGCTCCAGTATTCTTGCCCAGAAAATGATATGGACGGAGGAAACTGGTGGGCTGCAGTCCATGGGGGTCACAAAGAGTCAGACACAACTGAGCATGCGTACATAAGTATGTTATACTGGCCTACTTATGCTATGATCAAAACTGCATTTAGTTGTTTTATACTCATTTTGCCAAGAAAGAGTATTAAGAAATCCTCTTTCAGTTTTATTTCTCAGCAGCCTTTTTATGGTTTTAAGAAAGTCTTCTCTAAGATTCTGTCAGTGATCATCATATGTTCTAGCTTCAGGCTTTAATCAGAGTTCAGCAGGTCCAGGGCCTGATGGTAATTCTTACAAAACAGCAGCCTTTCCCACACTTAAAAGAAAACTACCTTTCTCTGTAGGACCGAGTTGGTTGTGTTTCCTTTGAAAGTAAGATTTAGGTTGTGAATTCTTAAGCAGACTTTAAGGGTAGAATACCAGCAGTTAGCTTATCAGGCACTGAAGGGAAGTCTAAGTTTTGTTGTATAGAGACTGGGTTTTTGATATAAAGTGACTGACACAATATAAATGCTGCCCCAGCAGTTCCTTAGACCTCCCTTTTCAGAGAGCTAGGGAGCCAGATGCCCTCTGAAAATTTGTGAGATTCAAATTTATTTTCCTAAAGCATAATGGAGTGAGTTAGTAATTATGATTTCCAGAAGCTTCTTGGAGAATATGAATAAGTAGTTGAAGCACATAAGGCATTTAATAACCAGGTCACAAGTTTCAGGAAAGTGGTTTAGGTGAGGGCCTCATCTGAGTTGCATCCGCTGGGTGTTTGATGTGTGTTGCTGGGTTAAAAACCAGAATAGTGACATGTCCAATGTAGGAGGTAGAAGAAATGACCTGGGACCTGTTCTGTGAAGGTTTAAACAAGCCATGGATTAGTGTGGAGGTAGTGATGAGTTTGGTGCCATGGGTCATGAGTCTCATATAAACAATAAGCCATGGAGGACTTTATCAAGAAAGGTGCCAGTGGTAGTTTCTGGGAATCCATGCCTCTTCAAAAGCCCCACCAGAGCCGACTTAACAAAGGTAGCCCATCTCTATGGTCATGTCACCCTGATGGCTTAAGGCCGTGTGAGGAGAATTGTCTGAAGACACCAGTGCTGAGAGTGCTTGCACCCTCTTGCAGTAAACCAAGAAACAATAATATTTAAAAGTAGCTGTTACTATGGAGTCTCTACCATGTGCCAGGGATCATGCTAAGAATCTAATACTGATTCTTCATGACTGCTTGAGAGGTAGATATTTTTATCTCCTCTTGATAGATGAGGAAACTGAGGCTAAGAGGATGTGAGTAATGTTTCCAGGGCTACTGTGTTACTTAGCAATCTTGGAGATACTAGAAAACTACCCAGGTTAGTGTAAACAAAGGTGAGATGGCTTTGATGAGGATGCCAAAGTGTGTGGATCTCGGGGGTGGGATGTCATTGGGCCTCTAGAAGGACTGATCTCTGATCTGGGCTTTGATGAATGTGAGCAGCTTCTGTCTGCCCAGCTGCCTCTGGCTCTTTGCCCACCAGTTCCCGGTGAATCTCTGCAGTGCCATGTCCCGCTCTCTGGTCTTCTCAGTGTGGTAGGATGGTCCACAGCTCCCCACAGAATGGGGGTCAGATCTCCTCTCTTTCTCAGACTTTCCTGCTCCTTCTGCTTCTGGGTTCCCAGGGAAGCACCTTGGATTCAGTGGTGTCATAAACTGCCCTTTAGGAACAACTCTCCTTAAAAGGAACTTGGCTACTACTTTATGGTACCGTTTTCCTTGATAACAGTTTCTTCAGACTAGAGAAATCTGATGAAGGCACATTGGCTATTATCTGCTGGATCCTGAGTTTTGCTTTGGGAACTGGAAAGCATGGAGGTCATGTGGTAAGGGCTGCAGGCAGTGGGCAGGGGCCTCGGTATCTAGTTGTGTAAGAGTCTAGGTGGATCTCTCAACCTTGCTCTTCAGTTTCCTCATCTTTGTCTGTGGGTCAGTAATATTCCACCCCCTCCCTCAGAGGGAGTGTAGTGAGTAGAGTGAATATTAACATCGATGTAGGATGGCAGAAACATTAAAATGCAGGGTGATTTTATAATAGTAAGTCTCAACTGTTGTTGAGACTGCTAATATTACAGCTACTTAAACTGTAGCATAAGATATGGTTAACAATCAGAGGAATGCTCACTCTTAACATGTGATGGAGGAGACCGAGGACTCTGTTTCCCTGAGACTTGAGGAATAGGTGTTGGGCGATTCCATGAGTCATGAGTGGGTGCCCTTCAGCCTGGAGAGGTTTTGAAGGACCGCTCATCTTGAGACTGTTTTTGATGGTTCTCTGATCATCCTTGAGTCTCTTAACTCACTCATTTCCACCTCCATTGTGTTATATGAGCCTTCTAACATTTAAGAGAAGGACCCAGTTAATCTTCCTGACAGGAATACACTGATGTTTACAGAGCATGTACCATACACGTGTCATCTTTCTAGTCATCTTATACCATGGTCTCTTTACTCCTACCAGCAATCCTACAGGGCAGTTACTTTTATCTGCATTTCACAGATGATGAACATAAGCATTTCAGTGAGCATCAGAATTACCTGGAGGGCCTGTTAAAACAGATTTCTGGGCTTGCCTCTGAGTTTCTGATCCAGTGAGTTTGAGCTAGGGTCTGGTAATCTGCATTTATAACAAGTTCCCAGGTGGTGCTGTTCTGGGGACCACACTTGAGACCCACTAGCTGATTTATTGGGCCATTTACTGAGGACCACAATGCTTGTAAGTGGAAGAGCTAGGACTCAAACTGGAGTCTGTAGGTTCTCAAGTCCATGCTTTTAATTTCCTGCCTTTGCTGCTTTTATCAAGCACTTGGCCTGGTCCAGCCTGTTACAGGGTAATTTAATTTTGCTATTACTGATAGTGTGGCTTTGGTTCTGCCTGTTGTTCTTCTCCTTCCCAATAAGAAAACTTGTTCTCCAAAAAGGAAGTAAGGCTGGCTTCTTGTCCTCACTCTGATGGTGGGAAGAGAGGTCCAAATTCTGGTCTCCAGGCCACAGAGGCCCAGGGTCTCCCCTCGGCCTCGTCCTTTCTCCACTTTGGCAGATGACTGCAAGCCCCATGGCTCTGGGCTTAGCAGAGCCCTCACTCACCTGCTAGCTCCACTGTATGTGAGTCCAGGGGGCTCAGAATTGTGCTGGAATACATGAGAGGCGGTAGAAATGACAGAGAAGAAGGATCCTAAACACAGTTTCCATTTTCACTTTTGTTAAATGATCATTTCTTTGTGTGCTTTGTTGCAGATCAAAGGCCTCCCTGAAGGTTTTGCCCATCCCAAAATAGGGTCCAACTACTCAGTGAGGACAGTGGAGAAGACATGGAAAGCTCTGCAGGACTTCAAGGAGGGCAACGCCATCTTTACCTTCCCTAACACTCCAGTGAAGTGCGCTGGGGCCCCGCAGAAGATCATGTACTTATCAGAAGCCTATTTCAGGAAGGTATGCTTCCTTTTCAGGGATGGGCAAGGAGGGCTGAAGGGATATCATTTTTATCCATTCAAAATACCGTTTTTGTTTCTAAATTTAGTAGTTCAGTCACTAAGTCATGTCCGATTCTGCAACCCCATGGACTGCAGCACACCAGGCTTCCCTGTCCTCCACTGTCTCCTGATGTTTGCTCAAATTCATGTCCATTGAGTAGATGATGCTGTCTGACCATCTATCCCTCTGTTGCCCACTTCTCCAAAGTATTGGAGCTTCAGCGTCAGCCTCGGTCCTTCCAATGAATTTTCAGAGTTTATTTCCTTTAAGATTGACTGGTTTGATCTCCCTGCTGTCCAAGAGACTCTCAAGAGTCTTCTCCAACACCACGGTTCAAAAGCATCAATTTTTACTTTTTATTTCACATGTACAAAATTATGTAACTGAAAGTTTGCAAAATAGAAAAAAGATGTCATTCATAATCCAATTGCTTTGGTATAGCTACTGTTATCAATTTGATATGTATTTCCATTGTTTTCCCTATTTTTTAACATGGTTATAATCATACTATCAGTTCAGTCTCTCAGTCATGTCCATCTCTTTGCTACCCCATGGACTGGAGCATGCCAGTCCTCCCTATCCATCACCAACTCCTGGAGCTTGCTCAAACTCATATCCATTGAGCCGGTGATGCCATATAACCATCTCACCCTCTGTCATCCCCTTCTCCTCCTGCCTTCAGTCTTTCCCAGCATCAGGGTCTTTTCCAATAAGTCAGTTTTTCACATCATGTGGCCAAAGTATTGGAGCTTCAGCTTTAGCATCAGTCCTGCCAATGAATATTCAGGACTGATTTCCTTTAGGATGGACTGGTTAGATCTCCTTGCAGTCCAAGGGACTCTCAAGAGTCTTTTCCAACACCACAGTTCAAAAGCGTCAATTCTTCAGCACTCAGCCTTCTTTATGGTCCACCTCTCATATCCATACATGACTACTGCAAAATCATAGCTTTGACTAGATGGACCTTTGTTGGCAAAGTAATGTCTCTGCTTTTTAATATGCTGTCTAGGTTGGTCATAGTTTTTCTTCCAAGGAGCAAGCATCCTTTAATTTCATGACTGCAGTCACTATCTGCAGTGATTGGAGCCCAAGAAAATAAAGTCTATCACTGTTTCCACTGTTTCCCCATCTATTTGCCATGAAGTGATGGGACTGGGTGCCATGATCTTAGTTTTTTGAATGTTGAGTTTTAAGCCAGCTTTTTCACTCTCCTCTTTCACTTTCATCAAGAGGCTCTTCTGTTCCTCTTTGCTTTCTTCTATAAGGGTGGTGTCACCTGCATATCTGAGGTTACTGATATTTCTCCTGGCAATCTTGATTCCAGCTTGTGCTTCATCCAGGCCGTCATTTCTCATGATGTACTCTGCATATAAGTTAAATAAGCAGGGTGACAATATACAGCCTTGACATACTCCTTTCCCAATTTGGAACCAGTCTGTTGTTTCATGTCTGGTTCTAACTGTTGCTTTTTGACCTGCATACAGATTTCTCAGGAGGCAGGTAAGATGGTCTGGTATTCCCATCTCTTGAAGAATTTTCCACAGTTTGTTGTGATCCACACAGTCAAAGGCTTTGGCATAGTCAATAAAGCAGAAGTCAATGTTTTTCTGGAACTCTCTTGTTTTTTCTATGATCCAGTGAATGTGGAGCACTTAGAACAGTACCTGGCCAACTCTAGGACCTCATTAAATGTTTACTGAGTGAATCAACAAATGAATACATGAATCAACAATTCAGGTCTATCTTCCCTTGGACCTGACTTTCATCTCTGGATCTCACTGAACAGAGTCCACCTCAACCCCTGAATCGAGTTGGACTGAGGTGTTGCGTCACTGATGGAAGATAAAAGAAGGAGGAGGCTGTGATCCACACCTCACCCCACCAGTGCACAGTGATGGAGAAAGCTGATGAGGTCTCTTTGGAGGGTTTTAAGTCTTGTCTAGGTTAAAAAAAAAAGGGTGGCTGGAGTAATGCTTTGATGTTGATTGTTTCTATTTTTTTCTTTTTTTCAGACTGGAAAGCGACCCAAGGCCAATATCATTTTCAATACTTCTCTTGGAGCCATTTTTGGGGTCAAGAAGTATGCAGATGCCCTACAGAAGATTATCCAGGAGAGGACCCTCACCGTTAACTACAAGCAAAATCTCATTGAAGTCCGAGCTGATAAGCAAGAGGCTGTTTTTGAGAATCTGGACAAACCTGGAGAGACCCAAGTGATTTCAGTGAGTGTGGAGGCGAAACTGTCAGCTGAGCAGTGCCATGGATGCATGCAACACTGAGGGACCCACTTTTTTGCCCATCGTTGTTGTGTGCTTGGGAGGCTGGTTACAATGAGCATCTTAGGGTTGTGATGGGGAGAATGTGGACCAAAATGGGGAAGGGAAGAGATAAGAGGTTGTGTCCATGGGAGATGAGGAGGGTTCATCTACTGTTGTTGCTGTTTAGTCTCTCAGTCCTGTCTGACTCTTTGTGACACCATGTACTGTAGTTCACCAGGCTCCTCTGTCCATGGGATTTTCTGGGCAAGAATACTGGAGTGGGTTGTCATTTCCTTCTGCAGTGGATCTTCCTGACCCAGGGATCGAACCTGCATCTCCTACTTGGCAGGCAGATTCTTTACCACTGGATCACTAGAGAAGCCCTCATCTACTGATACCAAGTGAATTTTTTATCCTGTTTTGTGTCTGTATTTTTGGCACTGAGTCATTTGAAGCAGCCAGAAACATTTCACAACTTTATTGCCTAGAGTTTAGGAAGGGCTTCTTAAATGCAGGATATAGTGATTGTCTCCATTTATGGTTTGTGACAGCCAGGCCTGCTTGTGGGTAGTTCAGGAATGATGGATATCTTTTACCTGGGAAAGAGAGTGTCTTTAAACATCTCATACCTGTGCATCAAAGGAAATGCTTACAAATCCTTGAAAGATCTGGCAGAGCCACATCCTGCTTGGAGAGATTTAGTCTTTGTATGTGGGCTTGGCTTCTGTGCATCTGTTTCTTCTGTGAAGTGGGAATAGTATATTAAGAACAAGATGTAAAGGCGTCCAGAGAAGATGCAGAGAAGCATCATTTGTTTATATCATTTTGGCAAGAGCTGTTAGCAATGAGGAAACAGTACACAGTCACATTTTACTCATTCAGCCTTTTTAGAGGAATGAAGGATTCCATAAATGGAAATTTTGAAGCGAGCCAAAGATTAATTTTCTAAACATCAGAACTTCACAGTTTAAGATTTTTAGTGGGAGCTTTTTCTAAAATATATTGCATACATCTTTCCATTCTTAAATGGTATGTAGTGACTATCATTTAAAATGCTGTTAATGACTCGAGGTCATAATTTTAAAAAACTTTCATTTGGAAATAAACTTAGAGAAGTTGCAAAAATAAAAATAGTACAAAGAAAACTGTATGTAGCCTTTACCTAGATTCATTTATTGCAGAGTTTTACCCCATTTGCTTTATCATTGGCTTCACTGTTTCTCTCCATATATAAATAGTATGTAATGTAATCTATTTTCCCTAAAGCATTTAAAGGTGAGTTATGTACATCACAGGCTTCCCAGCTGGCGCTAGTGGTAAAGAAGTGAAGTTGCTTAGTGGTGTCCGACTCCCTGCAACCCCATAGACTGTACTCTGCCAGGCTCCTCCATCCATGGGATTCTCCAGGCAAGAATAGTGGAGTGGGTTGCCATTTGATTCTCCAGGGGATCTTCCTGACCCAGGGATTGAACCCCGGTCTCCTGCACTGCAGGCAGACTCTTTACCTCTGAGCCACCAGGCTGGTAAAGTGGTAAACCTGCCTGCTAATGCAGGAGATACTAGAGATGAGTGTTTGATTCCTGGGTTGCGAAGATCCCCTGGAGGAGGGCATAGGAACCCTGTCTGGTTTTCTTGCCTGGAAAATCCCATGGACAGAGAAGGCTGGTGGGCTACAGTTCATAGGGTCGCAAAGAGCTGGACACAACTGAAGCAACTTAGCACACGCTCATTTACGTCATGGGTCATGGCCCTTTACCCCTAAATATTTCACCATAATTTTCCTAAGAGTTAGGAGTATTCTCTTATATAACCACAGTACAGTTATCAATTCAGTAAATTTAGCAAGGATACAATATTTTAATCTATGATTTGTATTCAAGTTTTGTTGATTGGTGAATAGTATTATAGTACTTCCTGTCCTCCAGAAGTTGGTCTACAGGCAGGTATTGCATTTAATTGTCATGTGTTTTTAGCCTCCTTTAATCTGGGGCATTTCTACAGCCTTTCTTTGTCTTCTGTGACCCTGCATTTTGAAATAATACAGCTCCCTCCCCCACTTGTATTTTTTAACAGGGTGTTCCTTGTTTTGAGTTTGTGTTTCCTGGTGATGAGTTTCAGGCTCTGCATTTTGGTGTGAAATACGGCATAAGTGATGAGTCTTTCTAGGATAACACATTGGAAAGCACACAGTGCTCATCTGCCCCTTGATGATGTTCATTTTGATCACAAGTCCAGATATGGTCCAATTTCTTCACTGTAGAGAATTATTATTCTTTTTCTTTTTTGCTACTAGTAAGGAGGGGGGCACTTCAAGACCATGCAAACACCCTACTCACTATTCATTAAAGTTTCCCAATAGATTTAGCATCCATTGATGATTTTTGCCTAATCCAGTCTTTACTATGGTGGTTGCAAAATGATGTTCCAGTCCAGCATCCCTTTACCTGTACTGGTAGATTCTTGGCATCCTGTCAGCAAAAGCTCTCCCTTCCCAATTAATTATTAGTATGAACTTACGAATGCCTGTATTTTCCCCCACTGGTTTTGTCAACTAAAAAATATAGTCACAGCCTGAAAGTAGAGTGTTATTTTATTCGGTGGGAATATTTAGGACTCTGAGTCAGGCAGACAGCATCTCAGTAGCTCTGAGAAAACTGCTCCAAGGATGCAGGGGGGGAAGTCAGGCTATATACAAGTTTGCAACAAAGGAAACAGGCAGCCTGAACATCAAAGATCAGGTAGCAAGTTAAGGAATTCAGCATTCTATGTATGGGAAGATGCAAGCCTCTGGGCTCACTGAATTCATTCCTTTCATAAGCACCTCAGCTATCTGGGGCCAATCCTGTTTCCTTGTTCACCTTGCTGCTTCATTTCCCGAGCTCCTCGGCAATCACCGTGGCGGGTGGCAGCATCCGCTGGATTTCAGTTTTGGGAGCCCTCATTCATATTTCGAGGCCAGAAATTGCTGATGGCTGTGACATTTCTTGTTTATTGATATGTCAGGAGATCTTTCATTTCACAGTTTATAATTCATTCTGTCCTTAAGTACTTTGGTGCTCAAGTTGTCCCAGACTGGGTCAGCAGGAACCCTTTCAGAATGGCTCTTAATGTCCTTGTGACATGTTCCCATTACATTTTTCAGCACTTCCTTGCTTTCTGGTATCCCAGCATGTCCCAGGCTTGTCTCCTTGCCCCAGTTCAGGGTCATAATTTTGAGTAACTCTTATATAGTTATGCATTTAGGGCCTACTGGGTTGTTTAGGGCTAGTTTTCCTCTTATGAAAGGACCTCAGTCTACTCTGTTATTTGGTTTTGTGTGCATCCTCTTTGTAGTTTTCTAGTTTTCTTCCTTCCTGGCTGTCAGGCAGCTGTGACTGGGAGATCGTTCTAGCTCCAGCATTTTAAAACTGCTACTTCTAATCTTTTTATTGGCTTGAAAATGAGATAGCTAAATTCATTAAATTCTATGTAAAGTAAAAGCAAATGGGTGGTGTGTGAGGGTCCACAGCATATTTTTATGAACAGAGTGTATGAGCTTGAGTGCACGAACTTAATTTTGTTATTAGGCCCTTTTAACTCTGGTTCTCTGCTGTGCCGTGGCTAGTTGAGGCTTGCAGATAGGGACTTGGATAAATAAATGGTTATTGTTCTTCTGAAGGGTTTATAAAGAAAGAAGGTTATTTGTGTCCCTTTTGAAGTATAGGCTTTTAGATTAAATTTTCTCTTCAGACCTAATTCTACTCTTTAAAATATGAATTTCAAAAAATCCACCAAAAGGCTTTAGAGCAGTGATTCTCAGCTCTGGCTGCACATTTCAGTCACCCAGAGGACTTTCAAAACATGCTGATGCCTGAGTCTAACTCCCAGAGATTTTGATTAATTGGTCTGGGGTCTGGATTGAGGATTGGGAGTTTCCAAAGTTCCCCTAATGATTCTCATGTGTAACCAGGACTGAGCACCACTACCGTAAAGAATTAAATGTACCCAAAGCCTCTAGTCTCTGGTCCTTCACAGAGAGCTTGTGAACTGGCCCAAGTCTCCAGTTTTTGGAGATCTAAACTTGTTTTACATCATGGTGTCCTAGAACTAGAAGAGATTTTGGAGATTGTCTAGTACAGTGCATTTCCTTATAGAAAAGGAAAGGAAAGGTGAAGTGACTAAGTAATAGCATTTCATTTTTCATTATAAATGAACCTATTCCTTCAAGCCAGAGTTTCTAATACTGTCATCTACAGGTTTCGTGTTTCCTCCACTGGGGTGGAGGTTGTTAAAGTACACATTCCTATTCTTCTCCCAGACCTAATGGATCGGGATCTTGGGGTGGTAGGGCCCAGGAACCTGAATTTTCTACCGATCTTCTTTATAAACATAAAAGTTTGAACACCACTACTCTGAATAGGTTCTTTATGTTAATGAAGGAGAGCCATGTTATTTACTAGATTCAATTTATGGAAATAATGGATAAAAAAACAAGCTATAACCTAATGCCAATATTAATTTCCAGCAAATCTATAAAATGACCCTAGTAGTTCTTTTGCTCAAGTAAAGTGTCATGCCTTTATGATGGTTATGTGGAAACATTTAACTTCCCTTCTAGAAAAGATGTATGAAATTCATGTGTATTTGTGAAATTCAAGCACATATTAACTCTAATAGATAGAGATGATGCTAGTAAGATTTGGCCCTCAGTTCTGGTTAACTTTAGAAATACAGACATGGCCTTAATAATTTGGTGGATGATGGTTGTTGACTATTCCATCTGCTGTCCTGCAGACATGAGCTCAGTTTGCATGTAAATTAACAGACACAGCCTCAGGGACCCAGGTCACTAAAGAGCCAACTAGAGTACTTTGCAAAGCACTGCACATTCACTCCACTTCTTCCACCTTAAGGTTTACTAAGCTCATAACTGAGAGTGGGAATAAATATAAGTCACATCCCTAACTCCCTCTGCCATCATGACTGCCAGGCCCTGGTGATGATACAGAACTTGTTATGAAAATCAGGGGCTGTTGACTATCACAAGGTTAGGATTGTCCTAAGATGCTAAAGTTTTCACTGTAATGAATTATTTTGTGAACACTTAATTAATTTGAAATTGCTAGATAGAGTTGGTTAAAAGTAAATAGAATAAACTACAAAATATTATGTAAACAAACAAAAAAGCACATCACATAAGCAAAAGAGTTACATGAGCCGTCAAAACTGATTAGGTTGGGTCAGTGCCTAATTGCCAAGGGTAGCCTTGATAAAGGTTTATGGGGAAAACAAATCCATCCTGCTTCCTACACAGTTCAGTAAACCCAAGACTTAATTAGACCCCTCCTTCTTCAAAGTGCTAGTCAATATTCTTGCTGCCCTTCAGTTCAGTTCAGTCGCTTAGTTGTGTCCAACTCTTTGCGACCCCATGAATTGCAGCATGCCAGATCTCCCTGTCCATCACCAACTCCCATTATTTAACCTTAAATTGGTGTTTTGATGGTTGCCTTTTTGTGTTTTGAGAGTTGACTCACATTTGAGAGTGGTGCTCACTTATTAGCTCCTAACATGGGTTTTTACAAGTTTTAGGCACTCTTGAGAACCTCTTTGCAGAGTAAACCTGATGTAACTAGACTTTACAAGTCATCAGATGAGGGTCAGGAAGATAGCAACTGAGATACATCACCCGCTTCATTTCAGTAATAAGTAGAAGCATCAATGAGTTCTTTCAAAATGTTAGTGAAGTTCACTCCAGTTTTTCAGATTCCCCCATGCCAGCTGCCAGAGGGATCCTGTGAACTCTGTACGGGAAGACCACGTCAGTTATTTGATCACTGCCTTGCATGGGAGCATGGATGATCTTGGCAAGCGTGTGGATCAGTGCGAGCACTAACTAACTGTACAGTGCTCCGTACAGCCATAGTCCATGTGTGTGTCAGGGAGTTGGGGCCAGAGCCTGTGGGGCTATGGAAATAATGGAACAAACACACATTTGGATGCTCTCCTTTTTGCAGTATGAAATGCTTCACGTTACACCACCCATGAGCTCACCAGATGTTCTCAAGACGAGTCCTGTGGCTGATGCTGCCGGCTGGGTGGACGTGGACAAAGACACTCTGCAGCACAAGCGGTACCCAAATGTGTTTGGGATCGGGGACTGTACCAACCTGCCAACATCAAAGACTGCTGCTGCCGTAGGTAAGGCCTTGAGCTATGTTCCCTCCTCACTCAAAGGAGGGGTGCCTTCTGCTAAGGCATCATCATAATAAAAACAAAAGTTGGACACCAGCGGCATTTCATTATATACTAATTATATTAATGAAGAAATGTTTGTGCCTAAAAATGCCTTTGGCCTCCCAAAACGGAAGTGTTGTCAATGAACCTAGTGTTGTGTAATGAACCTAGTTGTCAATGAATCTATTGTTGTGTAAAGAAGAAAGTATCTGTTGAATGCTTTGTACCAGAGTAGCATGATCTCGTCTGACTTTTCTGGGTCAGAAGGGTGGTTTTCAGGGGAGGGGGACATTGGAGAGAGAGGTGCCACTTTTCCAGCTCTCTAGAATTCTGTTAACTTCTCATACTATCATGCTCACATCCCTGGTCTTCTTTGGAACATCCCTGATGCTAGGCAGGTTGGCTGTTTTTCTTCTGCCTGAAACACTGTAACACTAGGGAAGCATTTGTTTCCCCAGAAAACACATGCAAGTCAATGAAAGCTTGCAGAGCAGAAAATTGCTGTGTTAAGACAGATATAGTGGAGAGTGCCCTGACTGGTACACGATTAAGGCCTCAGCCTGGGCAACTAAATTCTTCACGTCGATGTTCTGCTCTAGCAGTGATGGAGAGAATTGCCTTTTAGATTCTGTTTTCTATAGACAGGAACTGTCTTTTTTAGATGCTATAAAACACGAACCTCCCTGCCGGTGGGTATGGGAGTGTTTCATGTGAATTGCATACCCGCAGAACATGTGTTACTTTTGTTGACTATGTCAACCTAAGAAAGGCTTTCTAGGAAATCCACTGAATGTCCTTCTTATTATTTATAGTCATTTTCCCCAAACTTTTCATTTCAGAAGTCTCAAACCTATGAAAACTTTGAAAGTGCAATGAATACCAATATACCCTTCAGGTATTAACCAATTATTCATATTTGTGACCAATATAATAATTAACCAATAAATGAATACTTTGTCTGATCACGCTCTGAACCGTTTTTTAAAGTCATCTGGAAGTAAATTTTGACATCATGATACTTCACCCTCAAATACTTCAACTTCTGTCTCCTAAGAAAAAGGACTTTCTCCCCTATACCCACAAGATCATTTTCATGTTTAAGAAATTGAACATTACATTATGAAATCATTAATACCACCCATTGTGGATTTCTTCAGTTTTTCTAAAAATGTCCTTTTTAGCTTTCCCTAGCCACTCTTTCCCCCACCATCTGCAATTCCCCATAAATCTGTGAGCCAGTTGGGCCACACTGCTCACTGATTGTCACGTCTCTTTGGTCTTCTTTAATCTAGAACAAGCCTCTGACATTTGTTTTTTTTACTTTCATGACACTGACATTTTTGAAGAGTGCTGGTTGGTTATTACATAGGAAATACTGCAATTTATAATTGCCCGGTAGTTTCCTATGATCAGACTCGGGTTGTACGTTTGTGCCTCCCACTGTGTCACGTCAGGAGCCTGTCCTGTTTGTTTGTCTGGTCCTTGCTGAAACTAGAGTCCATCACTGGGTTGAGTTGTGTTCTAGTTACAATCTAGAGGGATGGGATACGGAGCCTTCTTAACTTCTTCACATTAAAATTATTTGCAAATTAGTTTTCATGGAAAAATCTAGACACTTCTGTTGCCCTGACTTTTCCATTTCTTATATAGCTGCACAGTCAGGAGTACTTGACAGAACAATTTCCCTGATTATGAAGAATCAAACACCAGTGAAGAAGGTTTGTATGCCTTGTAAGAGTCACTGTCTCAACTTACCATCTTCCATTCTGCATGAAAACTGTTTTCCCACCATTTTGCTGCTTTCTTAATTAGTTTCTCCATTATGCAACTTCAATCTTTGCCTTTAGTACATCCTTGTTATATAATTTCTATATTTTCATTGTAAGAAGAGTGGAATATACAAAAAAGGAAAACATTGCCACTGCTAAGAATAAGTTCTAAGATGTCTAGGCGGTGGTTGTTTGGTCGCTAAGTTGTGTCTGACTCTTTGCAGCCCCATGGACTGTAGCCAGTCAGGCTCCTCTGTCCCTGGGGTTTCCCAGGCAAGAGTACTGGAGTGGGTTGCCATTTCCTTCTCCTGGAGATCTTCCCCACCCAGGGATTGAACCTGCATCTCCTGCATTGTCAGGCAGATTCTTTACCGTCTGAGCCACCTGGGGAGCCAAGGTGTCTAGATAGCACGTGAAAAAAAGCCACTTCCCCACCCTGTCTCCATCACAGTATGATGGCTACACGTCGTGTCCGCTGGTCACTGGCTACAACCGTGTGATTCTCGCAGAGTTTAACTACAACGCTGAGCCCCTGGAGACCTTCCCTTTTGACCAGAGCAAAGAGAGACTTTCCATGTACCTCATGAAGGCTGACATGATGCCGTTCCTGTATTGGAATTTGATGCTGAGGTAAGTATATCACCTGGGGGAGAGGCATACCTGTTAGCAGATTGCGGCAACCTGTACAGGGGGGTTGTTTCAAGGAGGCCTTCCAGCTTCAGGAGATATGACCCTGAGCAGGACTGGCGAAGGGGGTCCACCTTGCTAAGTCATGTCTCATAGATTGGTAATGGCAGTCTGAGAAGGGTTCTGAAGTCTCAGCCAGACGTGATGGGCAAGAGGCTGCCCTGGGTGAGAGAAGGAGCCCTAGCACAGCTGCCACTCACCCACAGGGACACAGCCTCTTCTCTTTATAATCGGCAGTGACCAGTTCTCCTGTCTTTCATGTTCTGGTACTGTCTTGATGCTGGATAAATAATCATCATCCATCATAGTCATAGTGAATCACTTTGACCTGTTAAGTACTTTATCATCTGCCACCTTAATTTTGTTTTTGTTATAAGAAAAAGAAAACATACTAATTAAGAGCTAAGCTTTGGAGACCTGTGTTTGAGTCATGTCTGCCACTTACCAGCTATGCATCCAAGGGCAAGTTGCTTAAACTTTCTGTGTTTAAGTGTCTTATTTACAAAATGAAAGGAACATTGTCTTCCTCACAGGATGGGATGAATGAGACAATACACAAAGAGACAGATCCATTGTAGGCATTCAATAAGTAAACAGTGACAAATTCCTCTTCCTTGTTGCAAAAAAAAAAAAAAAAAGAAAAAAAATCTCATTTGACTCTCCCAAACCCTTTGAGAAAAGTAAGTCAAAATGTAGACATCAGTGTTTTTCAGCTAGGGATGATTCTGCTCCCCAGGGGACACGTGTCAATATCTGGAAATATATTTTGTTGTCATAGCTGGGGGGGATGCTTTGGGCATCTAGTGAGCAGAGGCCAAGGATGCTGCTAAATAGGACTGCCCCCTGCCACTGAGAAGTATATGGTCCAAAATGCCAATAGGTTTGGAAACCCGGACCTGTACTTAATTTATGAGCTGGTCAAGGTAGAGAGGACTGCAGTTGGTGCATAGTAGAGGCTTCATACAGCTTTGCTGAATTGAGTCAGTATGTTCAGGCTCACATAGCAAGTCAGTGTTAAAGTCAGTTGTGCCCTCCTAGACTTGGGTTCTTTCTACCTCGCTGTCAAACTAGCTTTATAGCCTGAGAAACATTGTGAGCAGCCTGGCTTCCCTTTTAACATCCTGTTGCCTGAAGTCACCCCCTTTTTTCCAATGCAAAGAACTATTCTGTGTCATTTCTTACAGGGGCTACTGGGGAGGACCAGCCTTTCTGCGGAAATTGTTCCATCTGGGTAAGAGCTGAGGATGGCCCAGCACTTGCTCTCCCTGGATGGCTTCTGGACCAGAATCACAACCATGGATTGACCAAAAGCAGAATGAAGAACTCAAAACCCAGCCCCATAAAGAATTTAGTGCTGGATGACAGTGACCAAATGCCTCCCTTCTCAGTCCCTCCGGGCAGCTCCCATGCAGGCTGCTCAGGACAAGCTTAATTATTTGGAAACATTCAAATGAAAAAATAGACTTCTATTTTTTAAATAAAAGCTCCCACTGATTGAGATTCTATGAGAAAACTTGATCTTGACCAGTGGTCTGAAAAGTTAGAGCTGCAGGGAGGAAAAGATGGTGGTGGTGGGATAGTTCACTTGTTACCTACTTTGACTTTTCGACTGAAAGCTGGCATAATTTCACCAGAGCCTGTCTGGATTTATAGAAACAAGAGTTATTTCCAGGGAGAGTATTATTTGAAACAGTGCCTGTGAAGGCTGTGGCTAGAGCTGGTGCTGTGGGGGCTCAGGGGACTGGCTGCTGCCTCTCTGCTCCCCCGCTGTGTTCATGCTGAGGCTACGTTCTCCCAGCCTGTGGCTGACGCGGGGAGTACTCACGCTGGCCTGTTCCTACAGGACGCATAAGTCCTCTATCGGCAACCTGGGCTCCAGAATTTCCCATCAGTCTGGCCAAAGCATCAGGCCAGACTTAGAAGTGCATCAGGCCTGAGGTGGCTCTTTCCCATCCCTCCTTCCTTCCTCCCCCTTCCTCTCACAGGTGTCCCTCTCACATCATGGTCTGAAAGCCCTCCCTTGCCTTTTTCTGTGCCTTCTCCTTTAGCCTTGATAGACATTTCCTCCACTAAATCTCTTGCTAATCCAATTCTCTCATGGCCCCTGCTTTGCAGAGAGTGTACACTTAGTGAGGATGGGGTTGATTCAGTACCAGTTTTGGCCAAGAAAATTTTGAATGAGATCATGTTGGAAACACTGCAGGAAGTAGTTTCAGTTGACTTGAAGTTCAGCAGCAGCTTCAAAGTCATTTTTTCTCCATTTAGTTTATTTGGAACCTTACAGTTTCAGGTTTCAGTTCAACCTGGTATTTGAAAGCTTTGCATGTTTCATATTTATTTATAAATTCCACAAAAGGGCAGTGCATAACTGTTTATGCAATAGAGTTCAAACCTAAACTGTTACCCAGTTTGAGGAACAGTGTTACTTAGGGTTGCTAAGTCTCTCTCGTTTCCTGAAGTTCCTGGATGGCTTTAGAAGCTCTGCTCAGGCATTTGTTCATTAATTTAGCAAAGATTTACTGAGCTCCTAATGAGCTGCCAAACACTGCCTTGGCCCTGGAGATGCGGTTGTGATCCAGACAGATAAAGGCCCTGCTACAGCCTTGTGGCTCCCATGATAGTTGCCTCTCCTTTCCCTGGGATGCTGGGAAGCTTGCTGAAAAAGGCCTTGGTTTGATTTGGAAAGTAGATTTTCTTCAGTAGCACATGTTTCTGAGGAGGAAAGGGAGTACCATCCTCGCAACAGACGTCTCATCCGGCAATAGAAGTGGGAGATGTTTTCTGGATGACCACACTCTGGTTTGTCTGGGGTTTTCCTGTTTAACATCTATTATTCTGGCATAGCTTTAATAGCCACACTCCCCCCCCCCCACCCCCACCCCAGTATTCACTTTCCAAGTGTCCCATTTGGACAATAGATTTTATTGACCACTGTAGTGATCGCACTCAACCCTCCCACACTCACCTGGGGTCTAGAGTAAGAGAGCAGTGCTACAGTAGGTGGCACTGTTTCTCATCTGTGCTGCTGGAGAACAGGCAGAAGTGGGGGTTTCCTGTCCTGCTCTGAGTCCCTGGGCCTTTACAGAGCTCCTGCCTGAGCTGGCTGCAGCCTGCCTCCTGGTGGGCAGCTGAGTCAGGGAGAGCTGGGGGCTGTTCACCCAAAATGATCTTTCTCTGCAAGGTCCACACAGTCCTGGGAGTAACGTCCCTAAATGTGGACACAAATGCATTTTCAAAGAGTGAAACTGTGTTTCTGGGAATGGCTGAGGCTTCAGGGTGAGTCACTCTGAAATCCCTCACAGGGTGAGCTGGAGTCTCCTGTGTCTGTTTATGATTGTGTATTCTGAATAAACCTCCAAGCATCAGGAAGTTGCTTCAGTTCACATTATGCTGGGCAGAATTGACTGCCAAGGCTGCGGGGAGCAGTAACCACTGCTGACCAGTACATTGGTCTCTAGCTTTCATTCCTATGATTTGGGAAAGATCAGAAATGTGCTGAATTCCAGAAAAGTTTGACTTCTGAAACCATATCTTCTTAGCCACAAATGTGGGCTTGCTCAAGGGAGAGGCCCTGCTCTGGGACTGCCTTCAGTTTTCCCAGTCAACAGCAGTAAATGGGGAGGGGTAAGGCCAGGGTAGCTGGCGGTTTCTCCAAAGGTGGTGCTTGGGGTGCTGAGGTTGCAGGTCCCATCCTGCTGATGCCTCCAGAGTCCAGAAGTGACACAGGGCTGGGAAATCCCTTCTTGGTTTGCCCCTCACCCTTGCCGCCACCCCTTGCCCCAGAGCTTCTTCCCTTTCGATTTCTGCCCTCGCGTCAGCCCCTGGGTGAGCTGAGGGTACAGTGAAGACAGAGCTGGATGGCAGCTTAGAGACCGCCGAGCTCCAGGGAGGGAAGTGAGACTTCCCTGAGGTAGATTCTTTTTTTTTGGTATGAAAGACATTTTTAGTGTTTTTTCCTCTTATTTCTAAATTTTATAGACGAATTCAGAGAATGGAGATCAATAAAAGGAATAGAAATCACTTCAAATCCATGACCCAGTTGTAACAACTAGTAGCATCTTGGTGTGTTTTTCTCTAGTGTCCTAATAATTGCTGCTACTTATAAAGTTCCTGAAAACAAGTAGGATCATACTGTAAGTACTGTTTTGTGACCAGTGTTTTACACTTAATATGTGTTGAAGACCCAGTGGTTGGTTGTAGGGAGTAGGAGATTGGTGAGTAAGTTACTCAAGGTGCACAGATCATTTATCCTGGCTGAGAAAATGGAATTAATTAATGTAACAAATATATGTAAATGTATAATTTTCCAACAATCCTGAAGGTAGAATTATCAAAGACATGGAATATTGTTCTTTTGAGGAAGGTGGCTTTGTAATATAACATTTAAGAGTGGATCTTCTGATTGTTTGCATGCACAGGATAACTCCAGTCTGATTTTAAAGCAAAAGTCCCCCTTTATGTCCTAAGACCACAGATGAAGCTTTCATTTCAGATAAGCTCATTGTGATCATTTCAGGGAGGGAAGGATCAAGAGCAATGGTTTGGATGAGATAAGACTTTCTGAAAAGATGAGTGAAAACCAGATCTCTCTGGGTAGGTTCACTGCTAAGTAGTTAAGGAGATTGCTTGTCTTTATGCTGGAGAAAGTCAAGGTCAATACTTTGCAAGAAGCAGGTAGAAAGGTCACAAGACACAGCTGAGAAAGATGGATGGTGACATACGAAACAGTTTTCTCCCCCAATATTGATTTTTGAAAAATAACTTCCCTGGAGGAGTGCATGCTGTGAACAACCCTAAATGAAGTTAAAACTTCCCATGTTTGCATGCAGTAAAACTCCTGTAATTGCATCCCTCAGGAACCATTTGGGGCCACAGCCAGGCCCACAGAAGTGCAGACAGGCAGTAACTCTGGTGCTGTTCTGGCACAAACTGGGTTTGGATCTCTTGAGGCACAGCTGGACGGAACATAGGATTGGAGCCACAGACTGGGATTTGGGTCTTGGCTTTCCCACTGACTGCTGATAGCATCCCTCTCGCATGTTTTAATCACCACTTTGTCACCTGTAGAGTGGGTTAACCATCCCTACTTCACAGAGCTAATGCAAGCATTAAATGAGTTGAGGTATAGCTTTTGGCACGCAGACTGTAGCTATGATTGTTGTTATTGGCTCTAGCAGTTGAATGAAATGCTCAGAAATACAGCCTCCCCTTAGACTAGAAATTCCTGCCTGTCTGGGAGAAATGGGGTCATGACAGGGCTCTCTCCAGCATCCTTATTCTAGCAAGATAGATGCATTCTGCCACTTGTTACCACCACAGCTCTGTGCCTCATTTTGACAGACTTTCAGAGTTGGGAAATTGTCAGCATTATCGATTAGCCCATGTGGGGTAGTGGGTAAGAATACATGTTTTGGATCCAAGACTGTCTGGGTTTGAATCCCTGATCTGCCTCCCATTGGCTGTGTGACCCAGGGAAAGTCACAGAGACTCTCTAGGCCTCTGGTTAGTTCAGATCACAGAAGGCCCTGTTTTCAGTCTCAATCTCAGTCAATTCCTCTCTCCAGGTATATAAATACATATGGTAGATATTTACTATTTGTTATAGGGTTTCACTGACTGCAAGAATTCATTATCAGCTACTTCCACAAGTATTCGGGGGGCATCTAATATACTCAAGGCCCCTGGGATTCAGAAATCCAAGCCCTTATCCTGTGTGAGCTCTGTTTGATTCTTTCCATGAAGCGTCAAGCTGGAGGTCCCATCTGTATATGGTCATAGCATTCAAACTGTGCCATCTTACACCAGGCATTCAGGAAAAGTACTGAGAAGAAGGTAAAGTTTGAGTTGAGTCCCTGTATTAACTAGGTCTCATATGGCTCCAAGTGACACAAATTGAAGTCAAATAAGCCTAAAAGAAAAAGGGGGAACTTACTGGCTCATGTAACTGGGAAACTCGGGTATAGACTTCAGGCTTGACTAGATCTAGGCATCATAAGGTAATCAAGGTGCTCTCTTTTCATCTCAATTCTCTTCCCTTCTGAGTCACTCTCTGTGACCGAGATGCTTTCTCACTGTGACCAGGGAGGAGGGCGACATGCATGTCCTCCTGGCTTGGCCTCCCTAGTGGAACAAAGAACAGGGCTTTGCAAATGTCAATAGCCCAGTTCTGGGGGCGGATTATGATTATGTGCTTAGTCACTCAGTCGTGTCCTACTCTTTGCGACCCTTTGGACTGTAGCCCG